CCGAGATGGTCCTTTTCATTGAGGTCAGGATCTGATAATAGAAGCCTAGGAAAACCGAGGAGAACTTTCGAAAATTGTAGGGGCGTGTAATATGTGTATTGTTATTCAATTAGGATTTTTAAACTCTACCCCAGGAGGGTACCAGCTCCGCTGGAGAATCCCTCCCTGAGCATGATTGCTCAGGCAGCCCCGTCGTATCTTGGCAAATTCCCAACGGCGACGTGCTCTGCCACACGTCACGTTTTGTCTCCCCGTGAGTAGGCAGAAAGCGGGCTGAGGATTGCCTTTTTGCTACACTGAATGTGTGTGGAGGCGTAGAAGGCAAGATGTTAGAAATATGTGAGATGATGAATACAAGAAAGATTGATTTGTTAGGGATGAGCGAGACGAAAAGAAAGGGTTGTATGACTACCACACATGGCCAATATATTGCTTACTGGTCTGGTGTTGCAAGTTCCCAGAGAGGCAGCCAGGGCGTGGGGGTCATACTATCTGAAAGGATGAATGAATGTGTGAAAGAGTATAAATGTGTGAGTCCCAGGATACTTTAGATCCGCCTTAAAATTGGCTTGACCAAATTATTTGTCGTCTGTGCTTATGCCCCGGACATCTCAAAGCCAATTGGGGTGAGGGAAGTATTCTGGGATAACTTGAGAGATGTTCTTAATGAATGTAAAGAGAATGAAAGAATAATTATGCTTGGAGATTTTAATGGATGGGTTGGAGTGGCACGCGATGGGTACGATAGAGTATTAGGGCGATTTGGAGACGAACGAGTGAACGAGAATGGTGTATGTCTTCTGGATATATGTGTAGAAAAGGAACTTTTTGTGACCAACACAACATTTGGTCACAAGAAGATACATATGTATACATGGCAGAGGCATACAGAAAGAAGTACGATTGATTTTGTGATTGTTGATGAACGCCTGAGGACAAAACTGAAGGATACAAGGGTTTACCGTGGCACGAATGTCGGAAGCGACCACTTCCTAGTAATTACTAGAATAGCTGGACTGGCAATGAAGTGGAGACATCGGCCACGGGTAAGGTTGCTTGGAACCGAGAGAGTGAGAGTTGAACGGTTGAGAGAAGAGGCAGCTAGGGACCAGTACAGGAAACTATTAAATGAAAGGTTTAGGGAGCTAATGAAAGGTTACGAAAGGAATATAGAAGAATTTTGGAAGGAATTTAAGGATGGAGTGATCGCAGTAGCTACTCAAGTATGTGGGGTAAGCAAGAAAAATAACACTGGAAGCAAGAGGAATGAATGGTGGGATGATGAAGTAAAAGAGGTGATAGAGCAAAAGAAGAAAGCATGGCTCGACTTATTAGCCTCAAAGGCAAATAGAAGAGTGCTAGAAAGTATGATAGAAAAGTACATTAGTCTCAAAAAGAGAGCAAAAGCGGTAGTTAACAAGAAGAAAAATGAATGCAAGGAAAAGTTTGAAAGGAATTTTTCGCGGAACTTTCGAGCCAACGCTAAACTATTCTGGCATTTAGTTAGAAAGGCCAGAGGCAAAGTGGGGGACTCGAAAGTAAGTACGATAAGGGATATAAATGAGTGTCATTGAAGAAAGTAAGGATGTTTTAAAGCAGTGGAAGGAATACTTCGAGAATTTATTTGAAAGGAGTGATTTGAAAGAAGAGGAAGTAAACGATGAAAATGAAAGTGCTAATGTGGGAGAAATAAATATGGATGAAATTGTGAGTGCCATTAAGAGTTTGAAAGTAGGTAAAGCAGCGGGATGTGATAGGATAACTACTGAAATGCTAACAGAGGGTGGAGGTGTAATTGCAAGCCTGGTGTATCTAATTTTTAATAAGTATTGGCGGTGCGGTCGTGTCCCTGGAGTCTGGGCCAAGGCCGTAATTGTGCCACTGTATAAAGGAAAAGGATCACAGCAGGAGTGCAAAAATTATCGCGGTATAAGCCTCCTAAGCGTAGTAGGAAAGTTGTATGCCAAGGTATTGATCGAAAGAGTGATGGATGTAACTGAGCGTAAAATCTGGGATGTGCAAGCGGGATTTCGAAAGGGAATGGGATCAAGAAATGTACGGATCAAGTCTTTTCGTTACGGTTCATTTCAGAGAAAGTGTTATCAAAGCACCAAAAGGTATTTTGTGCCTTTATAGACCTAGAAAAGGCTTATGACAGAGTGGTGAGGGATGAATTGTGGTCAACTCTGTCCATGTATGGGGTGGATAGCCACCTGATTCGGGTACTTAAATCCTTATATAAGGACTCGAGTGCCGTTGTCTGAATAAATGGGGACTACACAGAGTGGTTTAAAATTAATCGAGTTGTTAGGCAAGGCTGTGTAGCATCTCTTTGGCTGTTCAACCTATTTATGGACAGCTGTTTGAACGACCTGAAAGTAGGAGAGTCTGGATTAAGGATGAATGACACAGTGATTAAAACATTGTTGTATGCCGACGACCAGTGCTTGTTGCCTCGTCGGCCCAAGAATTACAACAAATGATCACTGCTATGAATGATGCATTTGAAAGGAAAGGTATGAAAGTAAATGTGAACAAGACGAAAGTGTTGGTGATAGAAAGAAATGAGGTGATAACAGAATGTCAGGTAATGATAGGTGATGAAAAAACCCACCGTGGGAGACAGGCGTGAAGTTATGTAAGTATGTATGTACAATTTGAAAAGGGTCTGGAGTCGACCTGATGATGGAGCCGACAGACAGTCAAAGGAACTCCTCAACGGTTTATATTAACTACCTTGTGTTTGGGCTTGATTGATTTGTATTGATGAGAACTTTACACCTAGATGGAGTAGGACTAATCATTGACGGTCTGATGATGAAGAACTGTAATTGTTAAGGGAACTCATCAACGGTTTATAGTAACTACCTTGTGTTTGGGCTTGTATAATTTGTATTATATAATAATTGTAGTTAAAATTCCAAGGTAGGTACCTAATCCTATTCATCTTATGAACATAATATTATATATACCTAGTAAATAATCAAAGTTTAGGTAAGTACCTACCCTAACGAACGATACCCAATGACTGGTTTTATGTAGGTATGTAATATAAGTAAACAAACATTACGATGTTCTTAGGTACACACCTACCTAGGATATCCGAAAGTTTAGATAGGTACGTACCGAATAATAAGATAAATGTTATAGTTAGGTATCTTATAGCTACAAGATAGATAATTATGTACATACCTACCAATTACATTTAGGGTATAGGTTGTATAAGTAGTACCTATATTGCATCTATACTCACTGACCGGTCAAAGTTTACAATGAATGGGTACAATACTTATTTTATTATAGCTAAGCATCCAGTTACTAAATATGTAGAAACATTACTTTCCTTGGAAAATGAAAAAAACGCATGTACTCATTAGTACTTATATCTCAATCCATATACTGCATTTTTACGTTTCCGCCTCATAGTTAATAGTTACACGACTATTATATAGTTATTAGATAGGTACGGTACACACAAATCATACAACGGTAGCGTAGTTTAGTTGCAGCAGTGACACTAATAAACAGGTACACAGGCGCGCGTTTTTCGCTTGCCGCTGCTCCACGCCTCGGAGTGGGGCCCCTCGCACCACACCCCGCACACTCCTAGCTTTACGTCTCGCAACGGTCAAATCTAAGTTTTTCGGTACCGTTATCGCATAAAGGTTAAATACCGGTATAGCTTTAATTTCGGTACACTTATTTTATACCGGTACCGTACCGTTATACCTTAACCGCTTTCAGTCCCTGTAAAGCTGTGTAATAATCCCGTTTCATTCCACTATCGCATTTCAAATAAACATTTATTTACAGACACAATATGACCATGATGTAATAAGAATATGCTTAATACTTTGATTTGAAGGCCTGCCTTCAATTTAATGAAAATAAATACAATTAAAACATTTCAAAGTCACAAATTCCCTTTGTAACATTGATTGCAAATAGTCAGACACTAAGCATGATTTAGCTTGTCTACAAATAGCCGTCAGAAAATAATATAAACTGGATTACAATGTACAGCGAAAAGCATTAATTTTTCTCAACATTTATACAATTACTCTATGGCAGTTACGTGTCATCGTGATACACAATTTGTATACCTATGTCCCAAATACAAGGTTGAAGATTAGTCAATCAGTTTCATCTAATATATTGACAAATCAAGGTTGACGAAGAATATTACTATAGGAGAATATTCCGGCATTTATTACGAAGTTCAAAAATTAATTTAGGCGAACATGTTAATTTCCTATAAGCGTTTTGTACACAGTATTTTATAACGGTTTTTATATGTTTCAGTAAAATACACCATCTTCTTTCACTTATAGGTAATCATTAAATATTACACTTTTATTTTAATTTCTAACACGTCAAATAGTCCATAGACTATTTGATATCATAATATCAAATAATAATTTAAAACAAATAATTATCAATTATTATTAATATTTAAATTAAATTAAATATTCATAAGAATTCAATAAAATGACAACCGAAACTGAATAATAAGAATTCACTCTAATCACTTCATTAGGTCCCTCAAATGCTTTTTAAAACCCACTTTTATGACGTAGTCTTTTAAAACCACACCGTACATGTCTATCACAGCATTCAACATGTGTAACTAAGAAAAGCATATAAAGCTTCTCCTTTCTCAAGTCGGTTAAAATGGATTTGAGATTCCGGCGCATGCCATAAGTTGCTTCAAAATTAGCCTTAGTGATGATATTTCAATGGAATTAGATACATGTTAAATGCTCTAACAAAAAATACTATGTAAAACAACGGTGCAATTTATATTATAACTTTCGTGAGACCATACTAAATTTATTATTATGTTTTTGGCTTACTGTCGCGCTGCTGGTATCGCCGCGTCGCAGGTCGCAAAATGCTGCTCATGAATATGAGCATTTAGCATGGCTTGAAACTAGTCAAATTCCTCATCAAACAGTTACGTGAGTGAGCCGAAAACATTATCATAAATTTAATTTAAATAATGTCAGTTGTAATTGGAAATGAATTAAAAAGATTTTGTTATATTAAAATTTAAAGTGATAAATGTATATTTTAGCCGCCTACTAAAGGCCTAGAAAGAGCCTGCAATGTACTTAGATGTGGACTACTATTTACTTGGGCAAATGCATTTGCTTAATTCTGTAAATCATCACTTTCTTGCACTATTTGTATCAGTACTTAAAATCAGCCATTCAAATCGTTTGTTCTTGTCAACTGATAACTATTCAATAATTTACTGACGATTCTTGTATTGCTATCGTTCTGATATGTCGCATTAAAACATGAAGAGTAACATAATAAGTGAAATACTGAAAGATGTCAATAATAAATACGATGCCTAAATACCACTTAACCTAAACCGGAAGGCACTCAATATAGCGTGAGCATTAAAGCGCAAAAATCATTAGAATTTAACAATAATACAATTAATATCATACTATAGTTGGGGCATACTATAAATATCAAAATGTCAAGTCATGTCAAAATGGGTGATAATGTCTTTAAGAGATTCATACACAATACATTTATTATAGTGGAATGGTAGTGCGAATAGTGTCATCGTAGAGTACACACTGGTAGGTAACCAATACATCTAGAATACTATCCGATCGGTAAACAATAACGTGCTCGATTATATTACATTATGACTAGTTACTGTTATGTGCACATTCACACGCCGCGCGATGTATAAATCGTTGCATGTGGGCTACTTATATAAACCTGCTGCGAACTGTACATCTGTAGCTCAGCGTGTCATACAACAAACGTTTCCTTTAATACAACCTCTCACACCGAAATAATACGAAACATAGTATAATGATAATGTCGTACTAAACGGAGTTTGTGAGCGTTAGTGTCAACCCATCGAGAGGTTTTTGACGATGGTGACGTCATGGCTCCGTCGGTTAATTTCTTTGGCCTCTTTCGAGAGGTTGGACTCGACGAGTAGGGAATGCCGTTTGGATGCGTTAAGGTCTTTCTTCCTCCGGACGACGTCTGGGCTGTAAGGTTCTGAGACTCGGCGGTCGAGGTTCCCGTGGCTGTGAGACTGTCCGGTTGAGAAAGAGCCTTGCCTGTGCAGTGGTGTCGCGGGCTGTTCTGCAGTGTTAGGGAGATAAGTCTGGAACGATGGTCGTGTTTGCGCCGCTTCCATGATGGAATCTATAAAAGAAATGTAATATATTTAATAAAAGACTTTAATCTGTGATGTTTTAGCTTATCTTCCTACTTTGTCTACAAGAAAATAGCGCATTGACAATCCTGGCAAACCATAGAATAATAAGAGATAAGAAACACAGGAGGTTAATTTAACTACAAACATAGAGCATGAAAGAATGTTAAACACCAGATGTAACCATTTCTACTGAGCACATTCCTTACAAAATTAAATAGGCTAATGAAGATACCCATGCACCCGTATAAAATCATAGACACAACAGAAAAAGTTCTAAAAAATATATCATTGCCTTAGAAACTTTTAACCGTAATTGACTTTGATTATAATAATCCCATCTATAATTTCTAGCTCTTCAATGACTACAAGATATAACAAAAAGCATTGAGGACAAGCACATTTAATATTATAGAGAACGCAATCACCTCCACTCTGCTAACTTGGTATGCCTGGTTAATGACCTACAATGGAGCAAAACAGACAACAATTTAACATATCCTTGGACATTTCATTTCAGAGATGTTCATGTAAAAATATTTATGACTAGCAGCCCGTCCCGGCTTCGCACGGGGTAGACAATTATTTATTTTTGGAAATTTGGATTGTTGTAGTGACATAACTATAATAGTTGGACATATGCTACCGCAGAGTTTTTTGTAGACATTATGATGTTCTTCAATATTGTTGTACATTATTTTGTTCTATCGCTAATAGTTTCGGCAGCGCATTCGACGAAAGACATTTTAAGTTTCATTTTTCTACACCTTCGGTTACATTGTTCAAATTTTACCAAGGATCCCTAATTTTTTTCAAAATGAAATGTAGCTTATGTGAAATTGGAAGAATGTAGCATTATATTCGTGAAAGAATTTTTTAAATCGGCCCAGTACTTTTTGAGCCTATTCATTACAAACATACAAAAATAGATACAAATCTTTCCTCTTTATAATATTAGTATAGATAATATGTAAAAAAAATCCTCTTTAACATCTCTTCAACGAAATAGCCCAATAAAGCAACTCAAACTCATGTGACAGTGTGTAAACAATGTGCAACAGAAACATGACAAACGAACGTAGAAAATAAAAAGTATAATGATGAAGTAAGAAGCTTCGAATTAGATTAGATGACTCTATTTTCTCTTAGTTCTAAAGCGCACTTGAAGAGAAAATATAACAATGTGTAGCGCAACTATTAAGTAACAAAGGTAGTTTGCGCAAATTGCGCAAAAAGAGATCTCTTGTGAAAGCGCAGATACAAAATTTGCTAATAAATAAAGATCTGTATGTGTAACCAAACATGTGAATAGATATTAGTTTAAAATAATGTATGATGACTTACTGAGTGTGCGCACTAGCCAGGGTGCGACTGTTTGCTTCTGGTTGACGGCTGACTGCACTTCGTTCAGAGCGACCGTCAGTTGGTGGCTTAGTTCCTAAAATACAAAAACAGCAGTTTCAAGAAGATTTCCATTACTCATGAAAATTATTTCGTATGAACTAGATGAATGGCAACAAAGATGTATGGATGACTAGCTTAATTTTCGTAACACTTTCTTAAAAGGAATGTAATGTTAGACCGTCACCAAATGGGTATCCAGAGGTCCGCATATTATCGAACATCCAATTTTCCCCAAAAGCCATTTAAAAGTAACCCTGACTTCTGGCCTGCTAGAGAGACTCAGAGTCGCTCAGCGCGCGATAAGCTATGCTCGGGATTTCTTTGCGCGACAAAATCCGAAAATGGCCGCCAAAGAACTAGAGTTACCGACATAGCTCACCAGGCTGAAGTGGCAATGGGCAGGCCACATGTGGAGACCACGGACGGGAAGACGAAGCGTGGTCAGCCCTCCCGCTAAGTGGACCGCCGACATCGTCGGAGTCGCGGGGAACCAACCGATGCGGGTGGTGAGCTGTCGTTCGACGTGGATGATGATGGTGATGATAATGATGGATGGTGATTTAATGGTATGTGTGACAAATGTAAAAGTGATTGGGTTAAGCACATGTAAGAAAAGTTATACTTACTTGATTACTGCACTGTGCCTGCACATGCGCGAGTTTCACTTGCGCTAGTTCCAGTTCAAGGTCGCGGACACGTTGCCTCAGTCGTGCCTCTGTTTCGCTTGAACCTTCTTTGTCGTCGCCTTTTTGTTCTTCTGTAAGAAATGTAACTTTTAACATTCATTCCAAAACTCTTCCGTTTCTATGTGAAACAGCTGAAATTACTGAACCTAGGAAGCTGAAATTTAGCATGTATGTTGCTTGGGAGTTGTGAGGGAGCACTAGAGAAAAATGTCCTAAATTGTCACGGGAACAGTACCCATTTCGTACCTATCGGCCATTTGTGCATTTGAAGTAGCTGGCCAAGAAGCGTAGAATAAGAGTAAAAAGAAGAAAAGTAAGATTACTGTAATAAAGTAAGTTGTTGTAATTATTATTACCTTCTTTATTATCCTTTTGCGCAAGTTTCACGCTGCAACTGACACAGTCCTTAATGTAGTCCTGCAAAGGAAAATAGGATCAATTCGTTTATAGATTAAGTACAAAATCGTATACACCTTGAGATATTTTGCAGTTCTTTACTGACCTGCATAGTATGTAACTGTTTGTCGAGTCTGGCGCATATCTCGCGGTAATCCCGCGCTACCGCTGAGAAGTGCGCTGCTTCCTTCTGACTTTCTTCTGAAGTTGTGCGGGCCTATAAATTCATAAACCATTAATTAAAACCTTACTAACTCTTCACAAATTCATATTGTATATCTAAAGTAGTTATATAGTTATATCAAAAATAAATTATTTCGACTGATCAATACAATCAAATATTTCAAAATAATCACACTTTCATTAATTGATTTTACGACCGACTTAAATCTAGTATTTCTCCAGCAAACATTTTATGAAATAAGTATGCTGTTGACGCTAGAAAAACATGACGTCACAATACACAATCTCGTACAAAATTCATAGAAACGAATCGTTTTTGACAGATCGGAAAAAGTATTGGATTTAACTAGTTGGCAAGTAATCAATTATAAAAGACACATTTCTTACGAGCTTACCTCCGTCAACTGCGCTTCTAATAACTCTTTTTCCTGTAGTAGCTGCGTGTTGATGACCTTTAATCTCTCGAGTTCAACGTTTATTTTCTCTTTTTCCGCAGATTCTAAAAACAAAAAATTAAATTTTAGTTATAAAACTACAATTTCTTTTCTAACATTAATGTCCAAACACAACAAATTCTTTGTAAAATGACAGAGATGGCAGGATGTTTAAGTATAACTTATAATTGAGTAATCTTTCAGTATCGGGCGTCAACCATGTCAAATAAGAATTCATACGATACTAACCTTTAATGAATTTCTCGTACTCCTGTTGGTATTTGGGCAACCGTTTAACTTTAATACTGCACGCAAGTTTCACAATTTGGCGAGACGATTCTTCCGCCCGACATTTCTTTGGCAATGTTACTCTGTAACAAATAGAATAAAAATAATGACAATATCAATTTATTACAATATATATCAAATTATCTAATTAACATAACATAACATCACGCCTTTTATCCCCGAAGGGGTAGGCAGAGGTATACATTATGCCACTGTATAATGTAGCACCCACTTTTCACTATTTATGTTATGAGTCCCATGTAATAGGGGGTGAGCCTATTGCCATATACTGGGCTCAATTCCAGACTCCGTGCTACTACTGAGAATTTATAAAAAACCCAGTAATATTTTGCTCGACTCGGGAATCGAACCCGAGACACACTCGGCCAACGAGGCAGTCTAACTTATTACTCGACTGATTATTGAAAATAAACCGAATAAACCAAATGAAGGATACAAAGCTCCATAAGAATTTAAATATTATTGTACCATGCAAACTTCTTTCTAAAGACCTTTGGCTTTTCATTATCTTTAGGCTATAAAACATTATGATATTAGCATAGCAACGTACCTAAAGTACTTGAGTACCCCTTCGAAGTCGTGCTGCAGCAGATCCTTGCGCGAGCGGGACAGTAGCGCCAGCGCCACTTGGAACAGGGTGTCGATGCCTTGCAGTAGGAACACGTCGAGGATGTGATACACCTGCGAATATAAAGTACATATTATTATTTCTTTATTACTTAAAGTAATATGAGGTTAAGTATCTTTTGTACGACAATGCGATATGACATCTCTCCATTCGAATCTACATTTTGGAATGAGCACCTAGCTTGACTGACGGACTGACTGACAGACTATTATTTATTTTGTATTTGTTGACGTTTCAAAAGTACCAAATTATGGTTTGATTGAAATAAATGCTTTGGCTTTTGACCATGTGGCACTTTTTTTGGACTTAATAATATTTTCTTTACTAATTTCAGTCACTACGGCAAATCTCAACAGAGACCATTAAACTATGTAGGAGAAGTATATCATAGAATTTACATTACTAACATCTTGGGCAGCGAATCATCTCAAAAAAAAGTTTACCAATTCTTAATACTAGCATAATAATAAACTTACCAAGGGTAGAGGGAAACGCGCTGTGAACACGGTGAGGAACCACTGAGACGCGAACATGTGTGGCTCTACACCCAGCTCTTGGAAGTGAGCGCGCAAGTCTGTTAGTTGCTCCTAGAATTTAAATGAAATTATTATTAATGTAACACATAACACAGGGCTGACCACAGAGTTTATGCGGTATGGGGGCTATTTGGTGTGGATTTTGCCTTTTTGTTCCCGAAGGTAGTAGTGGAAAGGTTTTGGTAGGCAGAGGTGCACATTACGGCAATTAACGCCACTGTACAATGTAACACCCACTTTCCACTATTTATGTTATGAGTCCCATGTAATAGGGTCTATTGCCATATACCGGACACAATTCCAGACTCAATGCTACTAACTACTGAGAATTTTAAAAAACCCAGTAGTACAGAAACCGATCGACCGAGTTAGCAAGAAATTTACCTCCATTAACCTGTCGAGTTGATGTAGCCTCATGTAGAGAGCTTCGAACCCGTCCTTGTACAGTTCACGCAGACCATAGCCATACATAAGTCGAACTAGTAGACAGAATGCTTGCTCTTCTGGCATCTAAAAAAACAATAGACATTTCATTAATATTTTCAGCACGCAGTCATATATCGTAGAAAAATAGGTCTTTTTAGTGACAACAACCACAATATATTTCCATATTTCTTTCTATACGTATTTAGATTAGGTAATTTATTCTTTTCAAAGCTTTGAGACCGTACATGAATGTTACATTCTCAATCAATGAGACATCTTTCGCTTATCGCCTGGCGGTAAGCGATGATACGGCCTAGCAATCTTTTATTTAGTCTCACGTATTTCATTGTTTGTAATAACACATAACATCACGGCTTTTATCCCGAATGGGTAGGCAGAGGTACACATTACGGCACCTAATGCCACTGTATAATGAAACACCCACTTTTCATTATTTATGTTATGAGTCCCATGTAATAGGGGTGAGCCTATTGCCATATACCGGGCACAATTCCAGACTCCGTGCTACCACGGACATTTTATTTTTAATAAAACCCAGTAGTATTTTGCCCGACACGGGAATCGAACCTGAGACCCCCTTTGCCCGGCAGTCGCACTTGCGACCACTCAGCCAACGAGGCGGCAGTCTGAATTTGTAATCCAATCTTGTTTTATTTATCAAACAGCATAAGTAATAATATTTTTACAGCAATAATATAAATACTCACATGTAAAAGCAAGGTAGCAGCCAAGAAGCTGAGTCCCTGGCAGTATCCGACCTCGTGGTCGTACACGGCGTATGCCCGCGCCATCCGTAGCAGAGAATCCTGTCCCAGTCCGCCTGCCTCGCGGAAGAAGTCGTGTGCGGGGAACGTACGTGCTATATCGCGTTGGATCACCGCTTCGAATGGACAGTCCTGGGAAGATGAGAGGTATGTTTAGCCAATGTTTTATATGTGTAAAAGACAGTTTAGAGCGTTTTCATAAATAAATAACGCATTTAGGTTTTGCCCTGGATATGGATTGTATACTGTACTACTGAAGGGTATAGTCTACAGGCTAGATAGGTAGATAATAAACATTGAGCACCACCTTGTTAATGTATTAACATCACTACTTTAGTAAATTGTGGCTCCCTCACTACATAGTACTTATAAGATCAACAGATGTCACGAAGCGCGCTGTCTATGTGCCATAAGTCATAACTTGGTGTGCATACACGTCATGTACTCTGTACGTAATGTAATTAAAATAAAATCAAGTAAAACCAATCTGAGTCTAAATCATTAATCCACTAATATAACACATCTCACAATATTTTCTTTCACTGTGTGTATTGATGCCTTATTTCTAATAATGGAGCTAACTTCCTTACGCTACTTTGTGATATCTAAAATCATGATTCAAAAATCATGATACTCACTTTGCTAATAAGCGTCCTATAAGTCTCCATGAGCTTGTCGTTCTGGTCAACTCCAGCCAGTCGCAGCCATACTTCACCGCGGAGAGCTTCCGGCACTCCAACGCGTACCAAGTGGTTCAATGCACGTGGACGAGGGCCTGTCCAGCTGTGGGACAATTTAAGATATTGTATTAAAACTATCGTAAGACATTTTAAAATATTTATTTATACATCCCGGCGCAGTGTGAAACACTAGTTTCTAAACTTAGTACTAAATTTCCTCATCAAACAGTTACGTGATTAACACCCGAATACTGAAAAGCTACTCAATTTAAATTGTACTCATATATCGTGCCATCTCTCTCATTTTACATTGAATTAGCAATCACAGAACTATACTTACACGCGACTTAATATTGAGTGGCGTTTGAGTATTTCCACATGAGTCGTATAACTAATTAAAGTTCAAATTAAACAATAAGTGAAAAAGTATTTATAGCAGTTACCTCCTCAGTACTTGAGCCCAATTGACGAGCACATCCTCGCCGCAGTCTTTTGATACTTCCCCAGTCCCACTGAGAAGTGGTTCATCGCCATCTGAAAACATCAAACACAATAATAAAGTTATGATGTTTGCCATTACATTAATATACTTGCTTAATTATTCAGTAAGAAGAAAATATAACCAGTCCTAAACAAAATAATATCTAGTATTCCGACCGAAATAAAACGCTATTTATTTATATAAATAAAATAAAAGTTCTGTATCAATCAATCATTTATTATTTGTAATCGCAGCTTACTTTAAATCATCTCAGAAAATTTCATTATTCTTACCAGAATCAGGCTCAGACGGCGAGGGTGGTGCAGGTGCACTGGACAGTGGTGATGGCAACAGACTTGACAGTGAGAGTGGCAAGTTTAGCCTGGATCTGTCTAACTCGTCCGAAGTCTCGATACTGGCCACCTCGTATTGAAGCTGACCCAGCGCGTCTACTGACTGAAAAATTATATACAATTTGATTATTTTATGAAAGTATTCTCTCAAAGATTTTATTGTTTGTATACAAAAATGTCTTCTACACAAAAGTCTTTTTCTGGAGCATAGGTATTGATGCTTGATATGGCAAAAGCAAGCTTACCTCTTTCAGATTAATATAAAATTGCTGAACAAGCGGCCGTTTCGAGTAGTACCAGAATCGCTCAGTAGGCGGGAATATCTTTACTGGAGTCTCAATTACCAATCTGAAAATAAAATGAGAAATAAATTATAATGACTTTAGTTTAACCATGAGACAAAAAATTGTAACTTATCTTTTTAAAACGACAATACAATGTTTACTCTACATTTAAATAATGTATTTACTAAATCGAACTAACAATAAATTAATCGAATAATTAACCCTTTTGAGTGCCGTCATTATAGACACAATTGAAGAACAATAGGTTGCGGTCACCGGTATCCTCGCGGTGTTTGACAGTTTAAAGCTGACATTTATTCTACGAAACCTACCTCAAAGGATCAGGTATCCCTCTGATGACCAGATCCAATGCGAGTGACATGTACGCGGGCGCGCCGTCCCCGCTGGCTACGTTGAAGGCGGCCAGAGCTGACTCGCCAGCGTTCCACAGTGCGCACACTGAACAACCAGACCCGCCTGATGAACCACTCACCTGGAAATTGAATTGAGAATGAGACAGATAGTAAGGAAATAAATTGTTACTGGCACTTTCGGATTGGAAATGTGCATACCTTCTGCATTTCATAGCCCAATTTTAAAAAAGATTTAACTAATCTTAACTTGTTTTTCTTTTGCATTGTTGATTAAGAGAGGCCTTCACGACACAGGGAATCCTAGCAAGGGGTCCAGAGCCACACAAAAAAAGTAATATGAAGCTTTTTGTCGATAAACATTTTTTATTAATTTAAAACCTAAATAATTCTACTTTTTTAAATACAAACCGTAAATCTGTACATATAATTATTATAGTAGTACTCTATTTCTTAGTAACAAGGTTAAAAATTAGATGACACTTACCATTTCAAGGAGCCTCATGTCTGAATGCTTCACGCTCCTACCGGGAGCGAGAAGGATACCGAAGCAGCGTTCGATGTATAAACCACCGGTGTAGGTTGACTGCAAAAAACATGTAATTTTATAAAGTTTCGCTTTAATGTTAGGTGACATGATAATTATCCAAAAGCTTCATATTTTTAATACAATAGTGGAAGTGGGCGACAGATCATCTGATAACGCCGACGCGGCAAGATCAGATAAGTAAATCCCTTATCCGAGCGCTGGCCTACACTCGCACAACTAGAGAAGTTACTAGAGTTGAAAAATGAGTAAGTACACTCTTTTCTCTTGGGGGTTTGAACGTCATCTCTACAGTTATGTACCATACGCTCTTAATACGTAAACTAAGTAAAAGCAGCATTGCACATTCTTAAAAGTTGTCGAACAATGCTCACCTGTGGGTCATCAGACTCTGGCTGTATGTTGTTAGTGACCTGTTTCACATTTATAGTCACTTGCTTGTCTATTCCACCGCGCAGCTTGAAGCCGAGACGCTCCTTCGGCACATGGCTGAATGTACCCTGTAAAAAAGAAACATATTTTGAGAACATAATATGATATTGAACCATTGACCATTGAACAAAGTGTAAAGGCATATTTATTTATTTATATCTTTTAATTCCATTACATTCATGTATCTAATCATACAATAACTTCGGCCAAATGCACTGAGATTTAAAAACAATATTATAAAAAAGTATATCAAATGTTACCTTCGCATCAGTCTCTTTGATATCAACAGTACATTCAAGTACGTGCATAAGTTGCATCGGTGGTACTGCGGGTCCAGTGCCTTCAGTGAGGGAGCCGGTCATAGAGGGCGCAGCGCTAAGATCACCCACCAGGGATGACGCCATTGAGCGAGGAATACGCTCAAACGCTTTGGCGAAACAGCCTGACAAAGAGAAAAAATAATTATATTATACCCCAATGTTTTTTCTTTCATAATTATTATTTTTGCTGCTGGCAGGATTTTTAACGTTAAATAAGGTAACATGTGTATACTCTGAAGCTAATATATATAAGACACAGTTTGTGTTATGTACAAATATATCTATTTTTTTCCAAAATTTAATTTATATATTTGTTTATTAATCCATTAATTAATAAGAAGATGGTGAAAATACGCCCCTAAAAACATAGTGTAAGTCAGATAAGTAGGCATCTAACTTCTTCAGAGTTAAACAGCGAATTTTATTGTATGAATTAATTTAACAACATTCCTATGAATGAAGACATTCACCAACACAGACAGATGTATTGAACGTCACAAAACTTTGTATTATTAGAATAAATTGAAAAGTGTTCCTAATAGACGTTTGTTAACGTTAAAACCTCTTCAATGTATCAGGTCGCATCATTTGACCTCGGTTGCGTAAACAATAACAATGTTATCGCGAACTCTGGTTAACCGTTAGGGAAATATATTACACAACCCGATGATAGTCCGATGGTTGCAATACGACCCATAATCTGGCTTTGGTCAGAGGTCAGGACTCGGGACACTGATAGGTGAATAACGAAAAAAGTACCTAACTATTATTATTTCAATTTATATATGGAAAACTATATTTGTTTACAAATATTGCATTTAGTGTATCAAAATGCAACCAGGTGTGTAAATATGAATATTATTGTACCGAATTTAGTATAAAACACGATATGCGGCGTATCAATACTTATAACGAACGCACTGTTACACAAAATTTCATAGCACATAGTAATAACTGTAATAAATAACCTAATGATTGAGCTCACTCATCGCCTGCCAGGAAATTCATAGGTGTAATAACTTGCTAAATAGATCGCTAACATTGTTACTCAAGTTTTATTACTATGCAGACGCCGTATTACTCGCGCTCTATGAGCTCATAATGTTAGACCCAAATACAAAGTTATAATGTTGTCCCTATTATAATAAAACTTTTTATGTTACTATAACTTTAGCCAGTGGTTTCACCTCTGCCACACTAAAATCTACCTCTGTGTCAAATACCATCTAGATCTGCTCAAAAGGTTTTGTGTTAAAGAGTAACAAACACACATCCTTACAATTTTTTTTATTAATATTTATAGTAGAAGTAGAATGACACAAAAAGAAAGAAAAACTGAATAATGTGTCACACTTTTGTCCTTCTATGGAAAATATATAACACAACAGAGTTTTAATAAACAGTCTTCATAATATAATCATCTGTTGACCTAAAATAGTTGATAAAAATAACATTGACTACTCTGTCCTTGTGCAGAAGGGCAACCCATACAACATGAGTTGATTATTACCATGCATTAGTATTTAGTAAATATTATCGACGCGTCAGTGGGCGGAAACCAGATAGAGGCTAGACTATGGCTAACTGAAGTTTTACTAAACCAATGTACTTATCAAGGTTAATTAATTAATTAGGTAGGTAATTAGTAAAATCAATTGTTGGACCATAATCTATAAAACCTACACAGAAACATGGGTATTAAATGTTAAGCTGTAGTAAATATTATGTATCCTAGCTAACAAATTAATTTCTACCTGTATTTATTAAAACAATAACACGAAGATATGCATACACAATTCACAACACAAACAAACACCCACTATAAAATGTACTCACAAAAAAAGTCACAATAAAAACAATCCTTATCAAGTAAATCTTAACCAAATTGGTCCCACAATAAAGTATATTTTAGTTTACAATAAAAAATAACTGAATACAAGCGCTGTCCACTGAAACAGGAGAGTAAATGAACAACAGAAACCCGCGAACGAACCAATCGAGTTGATAACGAACAAATCAGACGGCAATCATATTCTGAGTCATAACCTGCGATGTAGGCACGACATTGTCAAACAATTTAGTGCATCGATTTCTGTGAACTTTATTATACATTTTTTAAGCTGTACTATGAATATTTTAAGCTATACTTCTCTATGTAATATCTACAAGCTGGATAGAGAAAGAAGGAATTCGTAAGGTTTTCATGGTTTTATTTATGAAAAGTAAAGGATTTTATGTTAATAAACAGTGAGCTTGATTTATTCCATATAAAAGCTATATTGTTAATACGGTCCATGCTAAAACCAACCCCTTCATTTTGCATTTGGTCGGTTACGGTGGCTTCCTACACAGACAGTCTAATGAATCGTCGACACCGAGTGAACTAATAACAAAAATATAAGTGAAGGCCCTAGCCTCGCGTTCGGTGGCGCGTCAACCGGGTCATCGGGCAGCCTTGAGGGGACAGACGTTCAAGTCCACCGACTTTAATGACGTCACACGATCGATATTACGGAAATATAGGTGAAATTTTGATAGAATACTAATCTGGGGATGATTTATGTTCTACTGAGTAGTGATTTGTATTAAATTTAAATCATTGAAATTGTAACAAGTTGAGGATATTATAAATCAGTCTTGGTAATGTTATCTTTCTTCTTTTCTTTATTTATTTTTTTAATTATGTTGTAAGTGAAAAAGAAGCCCTTCTCAGAACAAGGGCTTCTTTTTAAGGATCAGGATCCTAAAATTAGGTAAAGTGAAATTGAGCATTGCAAGTGAAATTTTTTCTCTGAGAAAAGTTACTTAGACACAGAATATTACGTAGGAAAATAACACTAATTTTGTATCAGAATAAGCCACCAGTAACTTATACGTAAGCTCTTATCTGGATACAATAGTACCGATGACTGAACGGACATTTGAGTCAACAGATATATTTTAGTACTAGCTTTTGCCTGCGACTTCGTCCGCGTGGAATAGTGACTTCCGGCAGAAAAGTATAGATAGCTGTGCCCGCGACTCCGTCAGCGTGTAACTCCTTGTGTATTAAGTTAATGAATGGAGTAACTTCTCCCGTTTTCCCAATATTTCCCTTCACTGCTCTGCTCCTATTGATCGTAGCATAATGAAAAGTATACTATAACCTGCCCAAGAGTATAAAGAATAATTGTGCCAAATTTCGTTAAAATCCGTCGAGTAGTTTTTGTTTCCATAACGAACATACAGACAGACAGACAGACAGACAAAAATTTTTCTGATTGCATTTTTGGCATCAGTAGCGATCCCTAACCACCCCTTGATAGTTATTTTTTAAATATATTTTATGTACAGAATTGACCTCTCTACAGATTTATTATAAGTATAGATAGATTAATACAAAATATTCGATCTTTTCCAAGGAGAGACCTGTCATTCACAACTTCTAGTGAATAACATTACTTTCTGTGTTATCAGTATGAGATAAAATTCTTTTATATAAATATCTTCTATGATGCATTGTTTTTTTTACAAGATAAAGTGGATAGGTAAAGGTTTTGTATATTTGGATAAACATGAACTATTCAAACTGTCTCCAAACGTAAGGAAATTACAGCAAAACCTCTTTTGTCCGGAAACCTCAGAAAACCTGTTGCGGAAGCCGATGGTCTAAGGTTGTGTATTGTACAGACTGCTGACGATATTAACTAATTTTTTAAATAAAGTTTAAATCAAGAGATAGCACTAGGATATGTATTTATAAACATGCAGTCATGCATATGTTTTTTTACGTTATTACATACTTATCAACAGTAAACATTTAAACAATGTCAGTAGGTATTTAGGACAGAAATACCTGCATTTCAAGTTGAGTAAATTATTTATTTAATCTTATCTTATACTAGTATGTTAGTTTATTTTTTATTTTTTTGAATGCGCTAATCTCAGGAATTTGAAAAATTCTATTTGTGTTGGACAGGCCATTTATCGAGGAAGGTTATAGGCTATAAAACATTACGCTACGATTAAAAGGAGCCGAGCAAAGCGAGTGAAACTGCGCGAGCAGTAGCTTGTAAACAATAAATAACATATTTTATGCGTTCTATTAAATTGTGAGTTGTAAACGCATAACATTTTCCTCAAAAGGACATAAATAGTTTAATTAGAATAAATAATCAATCATTAATAACGAAGATTTACCAATAAGAAAATAAAAACAAATGTTACAGTTATACGAATAAAATATACACACCTGAATTGGGACGCTAAAAAAACGTGACGTCACAATACACAATCTCGTACAAAATTCATAGAAAACTGTCGTTTTTTGACAGTTCGAATAAAGTATTGAATTTCAACAAATTTCTTCAACTATTTTGGTCAATACCACAAATACAGTCAAAAAGTCTTTTCTACAACACAATTTCAACTTTTTTTAATCTTTAATACCGCACATTTGAATTTCCAACGTCGAACTAACTCATATAACCGAGCGAATAATTAGGTACTCTACTTCTAAAATTATCATTTGTTTATTTTGTAGAGCACACTTCGCGTCGTATCTGCTTTATCAATCAACGGGAAGGTGATCTCGTAATGTGTGTAAATAAACAGACGAAATTATATAAGGTCAGTATCTTTTTTTTTAATTGTTTTACATTATCCTGCTGAAATAGGTTTTTATGTTAGACTAGCTACTTCCGCGCGGTTTCACACGCTCTGCTCAACTCCTATTGGTCGTAGCGTGATGTTTTATAGCCTATAGCCATCCTCGATAAATGCGCTATCCAACACAAAAAGAATTATTCAAATCAGACTTGTAGTTACGGAGATTAGCGCGTTTAAACAAACAAACAAAAAAAAATAAACTCTTCCGCTTTATATACTTAATAGTATAAGATATCCACTAACCAGTAGATAGTTTGAACGTGGAATAAACATTTATCCGTTAAATAGGTATATCAAATACTTTTAGGGGAGCACTGAAATTGATCCTTACTTAGTTTAACATAACTTTGACTATGAAACAACTGAACAGACATTGATTAAACTTTCTAGAGATAGATAAGGAAATGCTTCTAGAATTTAAAATTATGCCCGAATTAAAATGTTTAAGAAGATAAAATCGCTAACAAAAGCTAATGTTTCAATAAATAATCACAAATATACGACAAAGTTACCACTACTAACGTCTCGATAAATTCTTAAAGAAATATAAAAACAAACTGGTAGGTGGAGACGTGATCTGACAGTTAGATATCGTGTACCTGTGTACCCACGCTTTGCTTAACAAATATGGAAATACAAGATACAAGAATGATTGTTTCCCAGTCAGTAGGTAAACCACTTTTGTTAATAAATCTTTTGTTTCCCAATGAGTTTTGTATTGGAAATGTCATCTCTAAGAGGATAGTATAGAACTTTCATGTAAATGAGTTATACATAAAAGATAGACGTTATTGCAACTGAAAATAAATAATTTCATTTGCATTTTTTGTTTTCTTAAAAAAAAGGTTACAGTAAATAGGTACTCAGCTTTTGAACTTTACTCCCCACAATAATTAAGAAATATTTGATTAAGATTTTACTGGCTTACTAGTTCATTAATACAATATCTAAAATAAAATTAGGCGACCAAGCGATATCAATATTCATTTCATTATCAATTTCTACTCGAAGCAAATATAGCTATAACTTCTCTATAGCTGGCAGGTTTTAAATACCATAATGTTTGCCACAGTAACTCCCCACTAAACTTTAAAAAACATTCAATTTTGTCTTAATTAACTCGTCGAGTACCGTCATTATAGACACAATTATAGAACAATAGGTTGCGGTCACCGGTGACCGCTCGGTGTTTGACAGTTTAACTCGTCGAGTACCGTCATTATAGACACAATTATAGAACAATAGGTTGCGGTCACCGGTGACCACTTGGTGTTTGACAGTTTAATCTATGTATTGGCAAAACGCACACACACCTACATACCTTTACCTCTATTTGATTGAACTAAGGACCGATTTTTCAATCAACATAGTTTTGAACTGTAGAATAAATTTGACATTTGACAGTTTTTAGTATGGAAGAATTGTCAAACATTAAAAGTTATTCCTCAGAACTTATCTGACGTTGGAAAAATGAGCTCTAAAAGTAGGAATGCTAATTTTTAAAACAAGATCACGTATACTTGATATCACCAAAATTTCACACTGAACAGATATTTCGTGTACAACGCACTACACATGCGATGCGAATACTGTCCCAAGTTATTTCCTCTACACACAATAATAACGCATCGTCACGACATTAGGCGCACTCGTAATGATAATAAACCATCACAACAAATCCTACCAAATAGAAGACACGTGAGTTTGTACTAGCAATTTAAATTCGTGTGCTACTGTTAGTGTTAGTCAGTTTCAGTATATTTATTCGTAGTATGGAATACTCCATATTATGAATAAATATAATAATATGTAATACTACATCAACAGGTTAAGCTGGGCTGATGCCGATACGGAGCAGCGGAGAACGTAAAAGATTACCAGGGTTCGTCCTCTAAGTGCAGGAGTAGGAACGAAGTGGGCCTTTTAGTCAGTAAGAGTCTGACACTCCCTCCCGGCTCACCTAGGTGGCAGAAGTCGTTCGATGATTTTATCAAGTCGTTCAATGATTTTCTCCCCTTAAAAAATGGCTTTAAGTATCCTTTGCTAACCAGAGGCATGGAGAAGGTTTGAGCATTAATATCAACGCTCGCTCAATACGAGTTGGCGATTTCAAACTTATAATTAGAAATTATAAGCTCAGGTTTCCTCACGATGTTTTCCTTCGCCGTTTGTCAGTGGTGTCTAAATGGTCTTAGAAAGTATATATAACTCTAAAAAAGTCACGTGGGTACTTTGGAAATGTGGAATGTGCTGTGAATTAAATATTGTATTCATAGTGTTATTTGTGTGTGCATCGCAGGTTTTAGTTTTTAAGTTTGATTAGCAATTTTCAGTCATAACTGTATTACAGCAATTACAATACGGAACTGCAGAAATCAGTAGATAACATAATAATTATTATTTAATAAGTTCAACGTTCGACAATCGGAATGATAATAAACATCTAATACCGTATGTAGACTTGTTTAAACAAGTACATGCTAGCTGTACTCATCCTATGCGATTATTACAAGTAACAATGAAGCGTCAATTGCAAAGGCGCTAACATAGATAATGGTGAAATATATTTTAAGCATCCCGAGATATATTAAATTAATTATGGCACAATTTACCGATGTAACTGTTTAACGAAGTCCCTCGACTAATTTCAAGGCCCCCAAGGGCTCATAATCACGTAGCATCAGAGTACCTGGCGAGACTTGCAACACAGGTAAAATAAGTTTTTCACTTACTTGAAACCTGATTGACGGCCTCAGCGATGTGACACCTGAAGACATGGCACCTATACACTGCGGACTCCTTGGTCTCGCCGTGAGACCATGTGAAGGCGAAGCAGGAGGCGACTGGAGATCCTGCAGCGCCGCGAGCGTAGAACGAGATACGATTCACCGCGTACCGTGTCATCACATTATTTGAGTCTGCTTGGTAGAGCCTGGGGAAAGAGATTGGGAGTTAGATAATCATTATCATAATATATGCTGTAAGACTCCGGAACATAGGCCACCCCCAAACATAAAACATGGGAATTCCACTTTATTCCCCCTAGTCCGTTTCACCATCGTACTACCAGACGAACAGCCAGGCGCCACCCTTATATGGTGAACATTCCACCCATTCGCACGAAGCGTTGCGCATCAAGCAAGCTTCCTTGTGCGAACAGCTAAGGAATAGAATTCCTTGCCGGAATCTGTGTTTCCTGACAAATATAACTTGTGTCTTCCAGTGAACAGGTTGCTCATAGGTAGGCGTGGTCCATCGTCGGCAACATCATCGCTTACCACCAGGCGAGATGGTGGCTAAACGTCAACCTATTAAGTATTTAAGAAAAAATACAAGCAAAAGTCACTGCAAGGTATATAGGGCGTCCATTTTTCTGTTTAAAAAAAATAAAATAAGGCCTGTATGCATATTACACAGTTACTGCTTGTAACTTTAAACAAATTATATAAATAAACACAATTTAAGAATACTTTGATTAATTCGAGTCTGGAATCGATCTTGCCGTTATCATCTCACCGTTATCACTATACAAAAGGCAAAAGTTAACAATGCAGTATGTATACAACTTTCAAACCTAACGATATTTCGCCAAATAACTTGGATATCTACCCAACCTTAGTACATACCATAAAGATAAGCATTGGTACATTTTATATTTACTTTTAGGTACATATGCGTTTATTGACAAAACCTACGTGGCCTAATACCTACAACGAGCAATCCCCTTAGGTTCTTTCCGTTATCATATTTTTTTATTTAGTTTTCAACTTGATAAGCTGATTTAAACATTATGCCAGGGGTATTAGGATGTGACAAATCTATACTTATTGAAGTTGAGTTACTTTCCTGTTGAAATATCGTACCCAAAATTTGTTCATACAAAAGTAGTCTCTAATCATTGAAAATAAGGTCTATATTGGAGCTAGTGGAGAGCTGCCACCGGTGACCCCCTGGGGAATAATAGGTTAAGAGGTCTGTTTGTGGAAGGATAACCAATGACCAATTCTAACACTATTAGACTTAATTATTCCATTTATTGATTTTTTGGACAGAATTCTCGTGTCGAACATAGTAATTATTCATTTTATTGAGCATCTGAAAAGTGTATTGTGTTTGTAATTGGCGATAGAAGGTGTTACAAACTCTCATACAGACATTTCGAGTAAAACTACTTGTTTATTGGCAACGGGAAAAACCTTCAAAGGTGCATAGGTTTTGAAGACAAACACATTTCCTTTAGGGACACCTCGGTACTTCCCTAATAAGGACGACAATGAGTGTTGTTAATTAAAAAACAAAATCATACTTACACCACTAGTCCTTGCGAGCATACCGGTATCGATATCGATACGGCGATCCCATCTCTACTTTCTGGCATAGAGCTGAGCTCCTTCATGATACGTTGGATGTCACTCTCTGATTTAGGGTCCGATATATTCTGTGCGCCGAGGTAACTGACACCGCTGAACCTCGTGCACTCTTGGTCTACGTCTGAAACTGGTCAAATTTCAATAAATACTGGGAATATTTAATTCATAGGAACAGTTTGTCATAATATAGATATAAATATAGATAAAGGAACGGGACTTTTATCTGAAGACATGCCAGTCCTATTGATACATATCAGGAAACCTTTTTACTAGTTGACTTAAAAATAATAATATCAGTAAAAAGTAAAATGAAAAAATGTAGACCTAACAATGAAATTCGTCATCATTGTCATCAAAGTGAGAGTCGATGGGCAATAAGCCTAACGTAAAATGGTTTGTCATAATCTCTAAGCTAGGATAGAAGATCAAAGTTAAAAGGTTTATGGTTATCATAGAGCCCTGCTGTAGGAACTAAGAATTAATAAAGCACCTGACTGATGAATATAGTGTTTATCTGGACAATAGAATAATTTTATTTAAACATCAAATCTTTTATTAAAAAGATTCTGTCTTGCATTCATAATATTTCTGTTACAACTTCATCGATTCATTTACTTACGAACCGATGCTATCTCGTTTGTAACCGCTGTAAGTTTGTACATACGAGTCGTTATGAATCGATTATTGTTAACTCGTCAAAGCTGCTAAAGCTCATAAATCACAGTTACACTAATGTCAAATAGGTCGACAGGCTGACAGCTGTCTGACCTTAGGCTACCCTAAAATAACAAAAGAGTATTTATTTAAAATATACAAGTTGATGTATACTGAAGTTGGATGCAAATTATGAAAATATTGAGGAATCACCATAGCATACACATTAGTCTGATAACATCATAAACTGCCGCCTTTGTGTACTAGGGGTAATATAGGCAACAGAGTGCCATCTAGTACGACCCTTACATACCTTACATTCTATACCTTGCATTATATTCATGCATCTGTACGCCCAGCTGTAATAAAAAAGCCAGCTGCAATGTACTCTTAATTTGAACGCGCCGGCCATAATACCCGGCACCTGGCCATTTTGTTATTAAAAAAAAACATTGCCCCACACTACCATTTTCTCCTACGTCACGGGTTCGTTTACAAATACAAATTTCGCAAACACAGTACATACATACAGCATTGTTCTATATTCTATTGTTAAAACATTATTCCGGGGTCTGATTTCGAACAAAGATTTGTGCGTCACAAAAAGGATTGATCCGTAAGGGAATTGAACCCGTGCTACGTTGTACAGTAGCGTACGCTACGCCGAGCCAACGTGCTAATCATGCAGTCGCTTTTTATAACATTGTTAGATACTCTGATAATATAGTAATTGTGGTACCAATACCAAGCGATGTTTACGAATTGTCAAAGTCGTCTAAAAATAATACTTCAAATACCATCAAGTATATTGCAAGTTGGCCTGCTTTCTATTGTTCTCGGAAGGGGTGGGCAAAAACTGTTCTACCTGAACCGAAAGAACCCCATGTTTGACAGTCACAACTTGCGAAAATTCGAACTAATATAAATGGGTACAAGTTAATTATTGTCAACATTTCTCGTCCGTCCATTTTTTGTAGAAGACATGAGCAAGGTTACCTATTGATTTTAACCGAACAATTTCTAAATTCTAAAGTTGGTGTAGAACTTGCTTCCTATACTTTGCAGCCGATATTAATATACGATTTCAAACCAAAATATTGATTAGGTATCCATTTTAAAAGCTAAATATGAATAATGCGAAAGTTTGGCAAATTGATACAGCATTGTAACACAAGATAATCACCTTCATCATCACTCTCAGTGGGCTTCATGTGGTCGTGCTTCTCAGTGGGCGAGGGAGTGGACACGTCCGCAGACGTGGCACTGTCCATCATCTCGTAGAACTTGGAGCCGCCGACCAGCCGGCAGGACTCCTGGAAATAAACGAAATATTACATTGATAACTTGATTTATTTCATTTCAAACACTATATACTTCAGGTATAAGGTATACTCCGTCAGTCGACTGCATGTATGTTTTAGGTTGTTGTAGCTACAATACATAGTAAGATAAACCTATATTAAACGTTTATATTTCACGTTTAGCTGTTGCCTCCGACTTCGTCCACGTGGAATATGGTTCCTGTTTTATCCCATGGGAGCATTTAAACGGGATAAAAGTATATAATTATAATCCTATCACCTAAGTCATACCATACCTTGCCTGTATACCAAATTTCATCAAAATTCGTTCAGTAGTTTCAGCGCGATTGACGGAATACAAACATCCAAACAAACTTTCGTTATAATATTAGTGTGATCAAACTGCCTATGCCAGGCCACTACTGAACTATAGGCCTGTTCCGAGAATCATTTGATGCTATACATTATTTTGACTCTCAGTTAAAAATAAATCAATCTTAGATTCGAAATGTGCCTGGAAATTAATGTAACAGCGTGCCCTTTGCTGTACAAACATTGGAACTGCCCTAACACAAATACCGAACAATGTAGGTACGTACAAACAATGGGATAAGGGTTGAGTTAAAGGTCAACTAAGTATGTATTAAGGTCATTACCTTTTGCCATTATTTTGGCAATGAAAACCTCTGTAGTGTCGTGAATGAAGGATTCATTATATTTATTTAACATAAAAATTGGGTTATTTGGACTGATCAATACAATAAAATATTAAAAAATAATCACACTTTGATTAATTGACTTTATGACCAACTTAATTTTAGCCTTTTAACTTAATTTTGACTGCCTCGTTGGTCGCGTGGTCGCAAGTGCGACTGCCGGACAAGGCAAAGTATTACTGGGTTTTTAAAAATCTCAGTAGTAGCACGGAGTCTGTAAATGTGCCTGGTATATGGCAATAGGCTCACCCCCTATTACATGGGACTCATAACATAAATAGTGAAAAGTGGGTATACTGTATAAGAAACGAAAATATATGAAATAAGTATACTGTTTTGAAACTTTTAACTATGCTGTTCATCTTAAAAACGTGACGTCACAATACACAGTCTCGTACAAAATTTATAGACTGTCGTTTTTGACAGTTCGAAAAAAAGTATTGAATTTGACTAGTTGGCAAGTATCGAATTGTTTGAAACAAACAAACGAGTAATGAAGTAATGTAATGGATAAGAAGTAAGACTGATTGTGATTGTTACTGAACGGTTGGCGACCAGCTGCTGTGCAATGTGTCTCGGGTTCGATTCCTGTACACAACAACTCTTTGTGTGAGCCACAAATTGTTGTTCCGGGAGTGAGTGTATCTATTGTGTATGTGAAATTATATATTAGTCAGTAGAAACATAAATAATAATTCCCATTTTGTAAGGACTTATACAGGAATTACAAATGTTTACTTCACTGACTCATGATTCAATTTATTAATAAATGAATGAATAATTATCACAGTTTTGTTGACGGCAATAATGTGTAACTGAAATATTATTTGACGAAACGTTTAATTTTATTATTATGCTAATACACTACCAGTTATCCTGATATCAAACATCCTATATTAATTCAGGTCATGGTCTATCTTTTTAAATTTCATCTGAATCTGTTTTAATGAATTATGTATAACGGTTGACCCACGTTGACTGTTTTAAAAGATATCTTGACTAGTTTCAAGCCGCACCGGGAGCTCATATTTATGAGCGCGACACATGATTTCAGTTTCCTATGAAGTAGTACATTTTCAGTCTATCATCTTGACACAATAGTATATCTACGATGAGTAAAAAGTGCTAAGAGTTAGCATTTGAGCTAAAGTTCATTGTCTGAATGTCAGACTGTAGAAATGTGTAGGTATGTACATTTTATTTCGACAAATGTCAGATGAAAAAGGTAATGTCTATTTCCTTCTACCTCATTGCTATAAATAGGGGCTATGTACTTCCAATTTAAGGTACTTCATTGTACTTTGAACTAATTTTTCTGAATATATTTTAGTTGGACCAAAAATGTTAACACTGCTTTTTGCTTCATACAAATATTAATAGAAAATTATTTGATTTACGATTTTCCCTAGATGTTTGTTGGTAAACCATGAAAAACATAAGATTTTATTATCAAAAGGACCTTAGACTAAAGGAAACCTGTTATGCATTTTCTCGCAATAAAGAAATTATAAAACTAAATGCTGTCTTATTATAATCTTTAATTCAAAGAACATAAGTAACGTAATGGCATGAAGATAAAATCATTTCAAAATATGCATATTACGTATAGAACCCACTTTACACTTTCCTTGTTTAAAAGAAACATTAATTTAAAATTACCTTTTCTATAATTTGCGAAAATCTGTTAGTCCGCGTCATGTTTCGTTGTATCACTCACAAATTAACAAACTAATATAAATATTTTAATGTTAATAAATCACAATATTATAACTTCAAGCCCGAATGTCTGTGTAAATAATTTTCATTACATTTGATACGTGTGCTTGCCATGGATTGAATATTAAACTGTTTATATTCCTTCCTATGAATCATATCGACAACCGCAACTTTATACACCCATACATATAGTCGGGTTATACATACAGTTATGAAATACATAATATAGTGTATATTTACTGTTGAAGTGGTATACTACTGAAATATACTGTATAATCTTTGATAGGCTGCGATAGCAACTCGATAAAAATCGTTCAGTGATTTCTAGTTATCTTGACGGCTTGGTTTCTTGTGTTAAATAACAATTATCTGTATTAAGCAATAACCACTTAGCTAAATAAAGAGGAAAATAGCAATTCAAAGATATCAAAATCGCTTCAATTAAAGTGGAAACGCTCATTGAAAATGTATGTAAATCGTACTATTTTGGTATCCGAACTTTAATATAAGGAATCTATTGTTACCTTCCCACTCACAATGATCGTTGCCATGTCCTTCGCCTTATTAGTAAACAAAACCCAACCTTATTCACTTAATTACATCGTCAAAAGGTCGTTAGCACAACACTAAGTTCCACAAAGTTCCTTTTTTTAAACACAAGATACCAGGTACATTCTGGTCGGTATTTTTATGATGTAATAAGAGGCACTGTCCAAGCGTATGTAGAGGTGACCGTCCCGGCGCTGGTAACAAGCTTAATGGGCACACAATGACTGGAAACCAAAACAACCCGGCGACAATTATCGTACGCGAGCGCCGATTGTAACACATAGAACACACCGACTGAAAAATGCTACATAAAGTGCTATTTCTTCATCAAAAATATACAAATAATTCCAATATAACAAAGCAATTATTTTAAGTTATATTTCTGTATCAGAATAAAAAAAATGTTTCGCGATAAATGTCTCAGATAAGACGTCAGCGCAACACGTGGGAGCTACTTAATCTGCATGTGTTTTTATTTACAATACAATGCTGGTATTTAAGTCTATAGTTATGCTCTAAACGGATTAGATGTTCATTCTTAATTATAGAACTGTCATAAAATGAAGATATCTATCGGATTATTTAAATGGAAATTGAGTTCAATAAATTAGGAACATGATTTATTTACTATCGACATATTTGATGAGTATGTGATGGTATGTAGGACCTCAAATAACACTGGAGTAGCAATGTGTAATTGTGATTGTGTGAGATTGTGCTGTAGAGATTTGTTATCTTCTTCGAATCTTCGAATCTTCTATCACAATCTTCGAAATGACTATACCGAATTGGATGAGATAAACAGAAGATATATGTATGTATCACCAGAGACCAGATGTATTTCCGAAACTTATCCGACCTGACGAATTTGACGCAAATCGTAGCTTCCGTAGCACTTATCTAATAACGTTTGTTGCGAATATAGTATGTCAGCGGCACAGTTGAATCATCATTTATCAACTGTAACCATCTACAGGCTTCATACATAACTATTAATACAATAACGAAGGTATCGTGAGAATGCCAGTGAGATGGTTAGCTTAGTTTAGTTTTGACATTGATGTTTGCTATGTATTGTTGTATGTTACAAGAATGCTAGCAAGTAGCCATCTTCTTTGCTCAATCAAATATGTTGTGCAACAATGTGTCAACTGTAAGAACGGGTGTGGCCTATTATTTGCAATTTTGAATCACCGGGAGACAGGCAGCGGTCAGTGACTCGAAATAACACAATTGAGGTAATTTCTCAAGACTCCGAAAAAAAAAAGGTCGAGAATGCGAAACTTAGTCTGTTTTTTTTTTTGACACGCTTACATATTCGAACCTATTTTTATTTTTTTGGACAATATACAGGTAGATTTGGATAGAGCTGTTCTTCTGGACATCTTTTAATTACATTTTAGACACGAATTAAGTGAGTTAAGTGTTATCTAAATAATAAAACAGTGAATTAATGCATTTTAATGTTTCAAAACTACAATGATAATATACCGTAAAATGGGGTGAATAGGGATTGTGTGGTGAATAGAGACAGAAGAGGGGTGAATCGATACTATGAAGAATTTCCTTATATCTATTCACCCCTCTTCTGTCCCTTTTCGCCGCTGAAACCCTATTCACCCCATTTTACTGTAATTTGAATTATAAATTCAACACATCTCTACTTTATTCTTTTTTTAATCCGAGCCAATGCAAAGGTAACTGACCGAACAGCCTTGTACTTAGATAAAATATCAACGTTTACCGCATTTACTTCGAAAGAGGTTTAATATCAAGGTTTAATTCCATTGTGAATATTATATTTGCAGACTATGTATTCTCGGCCTAATTTTAAGTTCACAGATAACACAACGCTAAATGGCACTTAGTCTACATTTTAACTGACCCATGATTAGAACATTACGTAAGTTTACGATCTCGTATAACATTTGATGGATAATGAAACTGTATTATGTATGGCCGATAAACCAATTAGGTTTAACGGCTCTGAAGCCGATTACGTAGATTCAGGAAGTAACGTGGTGTGTAAAC